GATTCCTCAACAACCTAGAAATAGAAATACTATTTGACTCAGCAATGCCATTACTGGGTATATACCCAAAGGATTATAAATCATTCTATTATAAAGACACATGCACACATATGTTCATTGCAGCACTGTTTACAATAGTAAAGACTTAGAACCAACCCAAATGCCCATCAGTGATGACTGGATAAAGAAAATGTGGCACATATATACCATGGAGTACTATGCAGCCATAAGAAATGAAGAGTTCACGTCCTTTGCAGGGACATGGCTGAAGCTGGAAACCATCAGTCTCAGCAAACTGACACAAGAACAGAAAACCAACATCGCATGTTCTCACTCATAAGTGACTGTTGAACAACGAGAACACACGGACATAGGGAGGGGAATATCACACACTGGGAACTGCTGGATTGTGGGAGAGCTAAGGAAGGTATAGCGGGGCTGGGGGTTAGAGAGGAGAAATACCTAATGTGGACGATGGGGGGATGGAGGCAGCAAAGCACCATGGCACGTGTATGCTTATGTCACAGTCCTGCACGATCTGCACATGTACCTCAGAATAAACTATAATAAAATAAATAAATAAAGGAATGTGTGTAATATAGATACTGTTTTAACTTATTTTGTACTTTATAAAATATACAAAAAAACATAATTTTAAAGGAATAAATTATTTTAAAATTGTATGTCAAAAGTGTTCTACTCTGCCTGACGGATGATTCTACATGGTACCTGGATTTTACAAAATCCACGTTGGAGACTATCTGATTAAGGAAATTATCAAAAACCAATATTTCTTAACTGCCAAAAGGCAACACATTTAAATTACGAATTAGCTTTGCTTTCTACAAATCAAGAAAATATTTAGGAATTTGTATGGGTTTACTCTTTAAACAAATCTCACGTTTAACTTATCTCACATTTAAATTTATTAAGAATTTGTACTTTCTTAAACATAGGACTTAGGTTGGATCTTTATAAAAGCAGAATATTATTCATTTTCTACTTAGAAGTTAAGGCCCTTTTAATTCATGTTCTAGTCTTTCAAAGAGTACAAAATGTATTTTAATGAAACACTAAAATCTATGCTCTTTTAATTTTGAAACATACTCACAATATCAGATGTAAGAAACTACAAAAAAGTAGGCAGAAACCTTAATGAGAAATGCAAATTTGCTTGCAACTATCTGCAGTATTTCCATGTTTCAAATGCCAAATAGAATTTAATTTGTTTTATAAAGCTGTAGTTTGAAGTAGCGTGATTTCTTACACTGTACTGCATTGCAGCAGTAGTACGCTAAATGTTCTTTTAGGCGAAGATGCTTCAAATTGCATCTTAGCATTTATATTCTCATTCCTGGATTACTTTTACTCATGGCCTTTTCCTTAACCAAACTCCAGCCATTGCTCACGTTTCAGCGCCAGACTCCCTTCTCTTTGAAGCCTTCTGAGATCACTCTATTCAATGATGAGTCCTCACTTTCCTGAACATATGGATTCCATTAAGTAAATATTCACCCCCAAAATTACTCGTTATTATCTTTTGATATCACATATGGGGACTTCAGCAATATTTAGCTTTATATCACATGAGTGATTTAATTTACTCTTGTATATTGTTATCTCAATAACAGATTGTCACTCTTTTCATTACTAAGAATTACTCATTTACAACAACTAGTATAATAATCTCTTCATAGCAAGATTTCCTTTGCTACTTGTTGATTGGATCAAAGTCATAGATTATATTTCAGCCCGTGAAAGACTAAATGGCATCAGATGTGTATGAATTATTAAATTATTAAATATATGTAATAAATATGAATGTTTATAATCAACACAAAGTTATGGGTCATATATTAAGGAATGTAGATGTGAAATTGAAATATGAGAAAAAGCTAGACTGTCTCTGCTGTTAAAACGTATCATCAAAATAAAACTATGTGTTCAAATAAGCCAGTATTATTTCTTCAGTCTAGTAATTATGTTTACCTGTATATATACTTTCCTTCCAAGTTACATATTTTGTATTTTGTCCCAGTTGTATTTTCCGAAAATTTCCACCATCATATTTGCTTCTTCCTAGACTTCTAAATCCCAATTCCTTAAAATCATTGCAAATTTTTTTTAAGAGCAGATACTTCTTAAACGATGAACAAAGCCTTAAAAAGGATCTCTATTAGATACTTAAGGCGCTTTCAAATGGAAATTATCTAGACATGCTTCTTCTATTACTTTATAAAGAGGAGACTTCCTGGCATCCACATGGTAATGGAAATAATCTACCTTGATCTCTCTGATGGCCATGGATATCAGGTTTTCATCTTTATTCCTTAGCAGCAGTCAATAGAATACAAGTTTTCTTTGATAAGCCTTTTATAAGCAGATAGAAAGGGTCTCCAGAGACTATAGGCATTTAAGCAACTTGAGTGACCAGTGTGTGTGTGTGTGTGTGTGTGTGTGTGTGTGTGTGTGTGTTTATTGTACTTTAAGTTCTGGGGTACATGTGCAGGTCTTGCAGGACCAGTGTGTTTTATGCCCCACTGCCTTGCAGCCTTTTTTTTTTTTTTTTTTTTGTTTCCCAAGCTCTCTGTGGTAAGCAGTGACTAGTCAGTTGGAATCAGCAACTGACACACCCAGGCACACCCAGGCAACTTACAAATGAATTGCTATGGGCTTTCCTCATCACCATGCTAACGTCTCCACTCTGGAAGGAGCTACAGCTTCATAACCGTGCAGCCTGTGTGCTGGTGTCATCACATCCTAAGTCTGCACAACTGAATCCCCACCTCTGCATGAAGTCATGCACACTCTGCCCTCTCCGTTGCCACATAGAACCCTCCTGTCACCTTCTCTCTGGGAGACACTGCTTCAAAGAATACCACAGGTGCTCTAGTTCCTTATAACAGGTAATAAAACTATTGATCAAAACCTGCATTCTCCTGGAGAGTCATTTGGTACTTGCCAGATAAATAAACCCTGTCTTTTTGGGGGGCGAGTAACACTTTGACTATGATATCATTTCCAGCAATGTAGTATCTAGTATGTAAAACGAAATTTAAACTTAGAATCAGGAGTTCCAAATTACATGATGGCTCTATTTTTAAGTAAGTAACTAGTTGGTATTTCACAAAACCTGTCAACTTCCTCTAATGCAAAGTGACAGTTAAGCTAAATGACTTTAATTGTTTTTGTCCTCTTAAGTGTTCTCAGAAGGTAAATTTCAGGTGAGCTCTTTAACTTCTGTTTATCTCCAGAGCAATTTGATCATCATCAGAGCACCTTAGACTTCTGTGTTCCTGCCAGAACTGAGGAACACACATGGATACTGTGGCCCAGGACTTCGAGACATTTTTACTCCCTACTAGAGACAGAGTCTAAAATAGTATAGATTCTGAACAGGTTCCTTACAAAAGAACAAAAAACTACTACCTAAAAAGTAAAGGTAAGACGATCACAGTATTACCATTATAAATGAATCTTCAGAATCTTAACAGATTTGAGAAATATCCCAAATCAATACATCAAAACAATTTTGTTTACAGAAAGGTCTTGTAAATTCCAGCCTCTGAAATCCAAAATAAACCATTTGTTAAAGTAGTATTTGGCCACTGTCCAGTCTCTCTCATGTGAATCTCGTGTGTCCCATATGTATCTCATTCACACAAATATCCACTCGGTTTCAATGAGTACCTTACTACTCAAGACATAAGTTTACATATTAAATAGAAGACTTACTACATCTAAAATTAAGTATGCAATTGAAACCAGAAATGATATAATTGAAAATTCTAAATACAAAGCTTCTAGATAATTAATTCTATTTTTAAAAATGTATGAAACAGTAAGTGCCAAGTTAAAAAGATGAATAATGTATACACTCTGACCTTACAGTATTCAGTGTAGCACATGAGAAAGGTTTGTAAACAAAAAACTGCATTGTAATTTGACAAGTGTTAGCATAGACATATGTTTAATATGTTATCATGCTTGAAGTATCAAGAGTAGAAACATAAGAACAGAAATATAAAAGCAATTTATTAGTTTTCTGAAAAACGTTATATTTACATCCTGAACTTTGTATCAACTGTAACAAATATTTTTAAATAGATACGTTTGAAATTGCTTTAGAAGAAAATAAGGAGTTACTTTTCACAAATTCATGCTAGAATTGTAAACACGTGACATTTCACGAAAAAGCAAGTCTTCGCAAGTTTAAGAACTCAAGTTTTCCCCTGGTTTGATTTTAACACTACCAGAGGTAATCCAGTTATGGTTGGTTTTTGTTAGGTTATTTATATACAACAAAAATGATTTAAAGCTTTTAAACAAATATAAAACACGTTTAAGCTGCATGTATTAGCATTTTGCCTGAAGAGTAAAAAAACAATGCTTTGAATGTCACGTATTTAGTTCAAAAAAGAAACACAGTGTTTCTCCCTAAGATGGAATGGTTATATTCCCTGGGGGCCCACGTCCATGCGCTGTTGAACTGCACACTTGAACGCTTTTTAACATCCTTGAAAGAGTAATGTGTCACTTTAACTCATGCCGAAATATGATGCCAGCTCTACAGAGAATCTAAATTGCTGTGTACTAAGACTTAAGTCATATGGAATTACTTACATAATATCAGAATCATAAAATCATAGAGTTGTAGGGCTGAAAGGAAGCTTAGGTGTCTTCTCATTGATTGCCATTCATATGAAAAGAATTCTTTCCCACACTGCCACTACCTAAAAAGGGCGGAGTTGATGGAGAGGAGCGGACTCAGTTATATTCAATACGCTCCAGTCTTCCTAAAGAAAGAGTCCACGTCTGAGGCTGTCCATGCCGTTGGGTTTTCTCTCTTTGCAGAAGGAGAACGTCATCTGGAAAGAAAGGAGCCCAGACCGCACTCTCCATCTTCCACCAAAAGCAGTTTCCCCTATGCAAACTGGAGCCACGGTTTCCTGCTCATACTCCGTGTTCCCTGTTTGAAAAGCAGAAAGCTCTGTACTCACCTCCTCACAGGCGGTTCTGAAATCCATGTGCTATGGCACCTCGAAGGATGTCGTCTGAAAAGACACAGAAACGGTAAGCCGTTAGGCACAGCGTGGCGTGCGAGCGGGCACACTAACACAGGGCAGGGGCGCGTGGAGCGGGGCGCGTGGGAAAACCGGGTTTACCACCACCTGGGAGGAACAAGGATAGACTGAAGAGAGGGAAACGGAGAGACGACGAAAAGCCTTAACCCCCAGCTTTTGGGAAGTATAAACATCCTGCCACTGTTGAGCCTGGTGAAGAGTATGCATTTCCCGGCGCCTGTGCACCTGCCGACAGGCGCTCGGACTCCACACACCGTCAGGTCTACCTCTCCTCGCGGGTGATAGCTCATTCCCAACATGCTTTGTGAAACCTGAGTTTGCAACTGGGAAAGAAACTTCAAGAGGCGTAATTAAACGTTGCCTTTAATATGGTTATCTCATTAGAAAAGGTTGACTAATCTTTCTCTTTTTAATTAAAAAGCTACATGCATGAATAATTCTCTCTGGAACTTAAAATTTTATTCACAACCACGTGAGGTAAGGAAGCAAGCTATTTGTCAGAGTGAATAATATTAAGAATAATCAATGTATGAGATAGCTAAAACAGATTTCCTTATGGTCACTATAATACCTGAACGATGAATGTAGATTTAAATACACATAAATTTTTTTTGTGTGAGATTCTTCTGGAGTGTTTTGTTTTCATTACTTGATACACCTAACGAAACTAACATTTGGCACAGAAATTTGACACCAAAACACTATTAAACAAAGCAATGCAGAGCCAAAATATAATGGCTAAGTAAATGACACGTCAAAGTAAAATGAATGATTATTTCCAAAACAGAAGACTCTATACTGCTCAAAATTACTCCACCTCTCAGCCTTTGGAAAAGTAAACTATAGCATCCTTCTTTGACAATTCTTTTTTAATTATATAAGATTGATGAATGTTTGATCAGGTTAAGTGCAGTAAAACAGTAGGAGTTATCACCGCGCTGTCACTGAACTGATGAATTTTCACTCTTGACTTTGAAAGAATAGAGATTAGCCATCAACAGTAGTAACCAAACACATCATATAATCTATTAAGTATTTCCCCTAGGTAAATCTTGTGAACTGTGGCCTCATTAGTATTAAAGAATTTTTTATTACTATCTTAATTATGCTTCAAAATTGCTCTTAAAGATTTCATTTGAAGAACCTGTAAATATTTTCTTGACTCTAACTCTCATGCAAAATTATTCTTTTACTACCAAAGAAGAAAACTTTTGACATGTATTGATTATATAAAAACAGGAGATGTCTGGAATTAATTTCTTGCCACTAAAAGCCAACCAGGGAAGTAGACGTCACGATATTGAACCATCTAAACATAACCTCATATTTGTTTTATATGCTGAATTTAATTTTAATGCATACATTTAAAATTTTTAATTATTTCATAATATGGAACATTTGAGCATGTGCTGTATCTATATTTTCTACCATTTTAAGCATATCTTCCTTTTTTAAAATTCTAATCTTTTTATTAAAACATCAGGTAATAATATCAGTTGTTTGTTCAGAAAAATAATTAATCTGTAATCACAGAGAATTCCTACATACTGTTAGATAAAATTCATAGGAGTTAACTGATTTAGATTGAGTTCCTACCTTAGGCTCTAACAGACTAAATCAAAATGAAGTTACTCATGCTAAAGCTTCACATCACCAAACTGAAAGCAAGTTGTTTATTTAACTTTCCAAAACATTGGGAGAGGGAAAAATAGCCAAATATCCAAACAGGCCAACTTTAGCTGGCATTAAAAGAAGTCCCCTCTGCTTTAACCCTAAAAAGAAAGTAACTTTGAAATGACTAATCTATGTTTTGGCTTTTATCTTGCTTTCTTCAACCCTTTTCTGCATGTAAATCCCATCTCCATGCTCAGTTGATCAGAACACCTTGTCTAAATGTGTAAAGGAGATGCTGCCCCGACTCAGGAATCACAATAAAAGCCAATCCAATTATTTAGCTACATTTGTTGTAATTTTTTTTTTTTTTTTTTTTTTTTTTTTTTTTTTTTTTTTTTTTTTGAGACGGAGTTTCGCTCTTGTTACCCAGGCTGGAGTGCAATGGCACGATCTCGGCTCACTGCAACCTCCGCCTCCTGGGTTCAGGCAATTCTCCTGCCTCAGCCTCCTGAGTAGCTGGGATTACAGGCACGCGCCACCATGCCCAGTTAATTTTTTTGTATTTTTAGTAGAGACGGGGTTTCACCATGTTGACCAGGGTGGTCTCGATCTCTTGACCTTGTGATCCACCCACCTCGGCCTCCCAAAGTGCTGGGATTACAGCTGTAATTTTTTCTTACAGACAGTTCTCCACTTCCATTTTTCTCTACTGTAACCATCTTCTATTTGTATGTCACACTGGTTACAATTACTGAACCGTTATCGATACATTATTACTATCCAGCGTCTAAACCGCATCCCAGTCCTTCCTAGTGTCTGCCTTCAGTCCTGGGATTGCTTCCAATGCACCTCGTTACATCTAGTCCTCTAGTCTTCCCCGGCTCCTCTCCTCTTGGCTGTGACTGTTTCTCAGACTTTGCTTTTTTGAAAAGACTGGTACTGTTGAGGCATGCTGGTCAGGAATGCATAAGATACCTTTCCAATGAGATTATGCTGATGTTCATTTTAATCATTATAGTGTGGTTATGGGTTTTCATTCCATTCAATCAGGGATACATGCGCACAATCTGACTCAACACTCTGAATGCTTGCTAACCTTTTCCCGCTGACGCCGTGTTCGTCAGCTTTTTCTATGGCAAAGCTCCTATTTTCTCTTCTCTCAACACAGTACTGGTTGGAGAGAGGTTATTACGAGTAGCTCACACCTAAGGAATTGGAGGCTATGCTTCCTGTTCCTAAGGCTGCCCTAGGTAAATAAATTATTTGAGATGACTCTGCATAAGGAGACAGCTCTGTTCTCTGCCATTTATTGATCGAGCCAATCATTTTCTTTAGACCCTGTCTTCTGACAGAGCAGAGAAATAGCTGTGTATGTACTAACCCATGTTAGCATGCACATATCCACAGCCATTTCCATATAGACCAACTTCATCTTTATCAAGGCAAACAAGAGTTATTAGTGATGTTCCACCTCTAATACCAACAGCAGCTGCTAGTCTAGTGTTCTTTCTTTGCTTATCTATGAATTTCTGCTGTACAAGATTGATGAATGCTTGTTTAGGTAAGTGTAGTAGATTAAGATGAGAGGTGTTACCATGTTGTTGCTGATAGATTATTACTACGTGCTTTGAAAGAAAACAGATTGGTCATTTTCAGTAGAAATTGAACATGTCATACAATTGCTCAAATATTTCCACTATGTAAGTTTCCAACAATGAGAAATCTCATTTCCAATAATCAACCATTCTTGTGCTCAGTTGTGCAATCCCAGTGTACATGTACAACCTTAAGAAATGCTAACCCGTTATTGGGAGTGTAAATTAGTTCAACCATTGTGGAAGGAAGTGTGGTGATTCTTCAAGGATCTAGAAATAGAAATACCATTTGACCCAACAATCCCATTACTGGGTATATACTCAAAGGATTATAAATCGTTTTATTATAAAGACACATGCACATGTATGTTCATTGCAGCACTGTTTACAATAGTAAAGTCTTAGAACCAACCGAAATCCCCATCAATGATAGACTGGATAAAGAAAATGTGGCACATATACACCATGGAATACTATGCAGCCATAAAAAAGGATTAGTTCACGTCCTTTGCAGGGACACGGATGAAGCTGGAAACCATCAGTCTCAGCAAACTGACACAAGAACAGAAAATCCAAACACTGGGTGTTCTCATTCATAAGTGGGTGTTGAACAATGAGAACACATGGACACAGGGAGGGGAACATCACACACTGGGGCCTGTTGGGGGTGGGGGGAACTAGGGGAGGGATAGCAGCAGCGGGTGGGGGATTGGGGAGGGATAACATTAGGAGAAATACGTAATGTAGGTGACGGGGGGATGGAGGCATCAAACCACCATGGCATGTGTATACCTATGTAACAGTCCTGCACGATCTGCCCATGTGCCCCAGGACTTAAAGTATATATAAAAAGAAAGAAATACTAACCCACAGGCCTGTGAGAAACAGCTTTATTAATTAGAGCATAGTTTACCGTACCTTTCGTTATGTAGACTGCACTTATTATCAACATTACTTACGTCTATTCCAGTGATGAGTGGGGAGAAATGACCACATGCCAGTTTCTCTACAGGCCTCACAGGTATCCCGCACCCTCCTGCACTTCTGCCATTGCATGAGAACAGTTTCCCCAAGAAGCTGCTGTCCTATTGGCCTGGCCTTAAAATGACACACACAGCACCAAACTTCTGACATGACCCACAGAGTGCAAGGTGCGACCCAGCTACCTTCACATCCCTCCCAGAACACAGCTGCCACAATCACATTGCAGACCCCTGAATCCAGTGAGTGCTCCGTATTTGTGGTGGTGAGCTTTAGGTACTGCAGAGCCCGGCCATCTAATCAAACACCAGTCTAGGCAGCGCTGTGAAGTTTCTTTGCAGATGACATATATAATCAACTCCCTTTAACTAATGGAGACTATTCTCAATGATGTGGGTGGGTCTCAATAAAAGAGTTGAAAAGCCTTCAAAGCAAGCATGAGCTTTCTCTGAAGAAAAAAATTCTCCCTCAAGACTGCATCATCAGCTTCTGCATGAGTATTTCCAATCTGCTGCGCTGATGGAGATTTTAGACTTGCTGGCCACTAGTCACGTTAGCTGCATATACAGTGGTTCCGTTTCTCTGTAGAACCCTGACTGAAACAGACTTGCATACCAACAGTAGTTTTAAAGCAACAGAATTCTAAAAATAAGGTTTTAATGGGTGGGTTTTGGGTTTCAGGATTGATTCTGTTATCTAATTAGATTTAAAGGCAGTAAAGACTCTATTTCCAGTATTATCAAGAACACTGGTAGTCCATGGTACAGAGAGCAACAGAGA